CGCCTGGCCACCGCCAGCAAGGACTGCGCGGTGGTGATGTGCCGTGTGGGCACCCACGAGGCTCTGTCCAAAGCCCTGGAGAAGCACAGCAAGGCCCCGTCGCTGGCGCCAGCCCTGCTCGACCTGGTGATTGACTGTGAGAAGTACGCCAGCCTCTACAAGAAGCTGACGACCAGCATCTTGGCTGGCTGCATCCAGGTGGGCCTGGGGAGGTCTGGCTGCGCTGGGGCTCTGGGTCTTGGGGCCGTCCAGGCGTCCTCGGCACCGAGGGGCAGCCTTCTGCTCTCTGCCTGCCGCAGCCCTGCGGTGGGCGAGGGGAGGAGGACCCAGGGCCCCCGGTAAGAGCCTCGCCCCATCCCGTAGCTGGTGCTGGGGCTGATTGAGGAGCACCGCCGGAGCCACCAGCCCATCAGCATCCCCTTCTTTGACGTCTTTCTGCGCAACCTGTGCCGAGGTGAGCGCGGGGAGCAGGAGCTGGAGCCCCATGTCTGGCATGTGCTGGCCTGGCAGCCGGAGGCTCCATGTGCTCTCCCCACAGGCTCCAGCGTGGAGGTGAAGGAGGACAAGTGTTGGGAGAAGGTGCAGGTCTCCTCCAACGCCCACCGGGCCAGCAAGCTCACGGACGGGAACCCCAAGACATACTGGGAGTCGAATGGCAGCACCGGCTCCCACTTCATCACAGTCCACATGCAGTGTGGTGTGGTGGTCAGGTGGGGCTGGGCTGGGAGGGCCGGGGATCCCCGGGGCCAGGAGGGCCAGGGGCTGGGCAGGGAGGAGAGGGCTTTGGGGGATCTGTGTGAGCCCTGCCCTAGTGGTCCCAGTGCTGGGGGGTTGCTGGATGTGGGCAGCAGGGGCCAGGGCAGGGAGGTGGGGACTGCTGGGCAGCACCGTGTTTGCTGCACTGCAGGCAGATGAGCATGCTGGTGGCCAGCGAGGACTCCAGCTACATGCCGGCCCGTGTTGTGGTGCTGGGGGGAGACAGCCCTGCCACCATCAGAACAGAGCTCAACGCGGTGAGTCTTGCCCTGGCTGCTCAGGCCATGGGGCCCCCCGGGAGCGGTGGACTGGTCCTTGCTGTGTCCCATGAAGGTCTCGCCCTGGTGCTGGGACCCTGGGAGGTGCCCCCAGGGAGGTGGGGATGGCAGGGGCTGTGCTGCCGGAGCCTCCTCCTGGCTGTAGGCAGGGGGTTGCTGGAGACTTTGGTATGGGCAGTGCTGCAGCCCAGTCTGCAGCAGGCTGGTGTGCTGGGGCTGTGGGCCAGAAGTGGGGCCCTGGCAGGGGGTGCCCTGTGGCTGCATAGGGGCTGCTGGGGGAGGCAAAGGCTGTGGCTTTAATGGGGGGGGGGCAGGGGAGCATGCAGGGTGGCTGGTGCTCGCTACCTGGGGTGCTGAGGACTCACTGCCTGCAGGTGACCGTCCTGCCCTCAGACAGCAGAGTGATCCTGCTGGAGAACATGACCCGCTTCTGGCCCGTCATCCAGATCCGGGTGAAGCGGTGCCAGCAGGTAGGGGAGCAGGGGGCCGGGTCGGGGAGCTGGCAGCGTGGGGCATCAGGGCCGTGCCCGAGGAGCTGAGGGTTGCGCTTTCCGTAGGGTGGCATTGACACACGTGTGCGTGGCATCGAGGTGCTGGGTCCCAAGCCCACTTTCTGGCCCATCTTCAAGGAGCAGCTGTGCCGGCGGACGTTCCTCTCCTGCACCGCTCGGGCACATGCCTGGTGCCAGGAGATCTGCCAGGACCGGGGGCAGCTGCTGCAACTCTTTGGCAGGTGAGTTGCCTCCTGGCTGTGCCATCACGTCCCTTCTGTCCTTGCACCTTGGGGGACGGTGCTGTCAGCCTGTGAGGGGACTGCAGGGTCAGGAGAGGAGCAGAGAGGTGTCGTGGGAGGGCCAGGGCCACTTTGGGGTCCCCCACATTTAAGCTGGGCACATAGGCACAGCTGACCGCCCAGAGGGGTGCCCCGCAGAGGCTGGCACACCTTGACCTGGTGGAGGTCGGCCAAGTGCAGGCAGGATCTTGTGGCCATAGGTGCCGCACAGCCCCCCAGTTTGGCAGGGGCCACAAGGGCCCTAAGGCCCAGTGTGGGCAGGGCCTGGGGTCAGCAAGTGGCCCTGGCTGCTGGGGGCGAGTGGGGCTGCTGAGCTCTGATGCCTGGCAAGGGGCAGGGCAGAGCATCACCAGCCCAGGTACCCTGCGCTCTCCCAGGCCCGTTCATGCCATGCCCCAGGCTGAGGCACCCTGCTCTGAGCCTGGTTGGCCTTGCAGACCCCCACGGCATCAGCCCCCTGGCCTGGCTGCTGAGCGAGTACCTGGAGAGCATGGAGCCTCCCCGCCATGCCACGAGCCGCTGTGCCGTCTTTGGTTCCCGTGTGCGGCGCCTGACCCAGCTCCTGGTGCATGTAGACCCCGAGGGCCCAGAGCCAGAGGAGGCAAGAGCAGCTGGTGAGCGAGGGGCTGCTCTCCCTTGGGGCTGGGAGGGCGGTGCTCCAGAGTGCCAGGCTGTGGCCGTGGGGTTCCACTGGGGCGCTCTGCGGGGGGCCCTGTGGCACAGGGGTCTCCCTAGCCGGGTTCCTCTCATGGCCGTGCCTCCCTGGCATCTCCTCTGCCCTGCGCCCCCCAGGGAGAGGGGAAGCTGCTGGCGGTCAGTGCGCAGAGCCTGCCCACAGAGCTGTGCTGAGCCCAGGGTTGTCCCTTGGCAGGCGGGAAGGAGGAGAAGGCCCAGGGAGAGGGGAAGCTGCTGGCGGTCAGTGTGCAGAGCCTGCCCACAGAGCTGTGCTGAGCCCGGGGTTGTCCCTTGGCAGGCGGGAAGGAGGAGAAGAACAAGGAGATGCCGGCCAGGACGGCAAAGGCAGTGGTGGAGAAGTCAAGCAGCCTGTGGGGCATCTCACAGTGCTGGCGTGGCGTGGTGCAGCAGCAGGTAGAGCTTGAAGGGCCGTCCATGGGGGCCGGAGGGGGCGCGTGGGACCCCACACCAGGCAGGTATAGAGGGGAGCGGGGCCTGGCAGTGCCCTGGGAGCGTGGGGAGGGCGCAGGGCTGTACCTGGCCTTCACGGGGCCCGGAGGGGGAGGGGGGAAGGCCCGC